AGGCAATATGTAAACATTTGCCTGTTTTCCATGCAATAGTTCTGTAATATTGTGTTGACCAAATTTTAGAGAAAAGGAAACTTAGTAAGTTACCCAGGGCTGGTTACTAACAGAGCTCAGATAAATCCCAAGCTCCGGATGTGAGGGCGATCTGGCTGCGACATCTGTCACCCCATTGATCGCCAGGGTTGATTCGGCTGATCTGGCTGGCTAGGCGGGTGTCCCCCTCCTCCCTCACCGATCCATGTGTGCATTCGGTCGAAGAGAACAACCTTCCTCCCAGAGGAGAGGACCGGTCTTCGGTCAAGGGTATACAAGTAGCTGCGCTCCCCTGCCAGAACCTCCAAACAAGCTCTCAAGAATGGCTATCATCAACAAAATGACAAGTGTTGGCAAGGGAACCCTCGTCCACATCTGATGGGAATGCAGACATTGCAGCCTCTGAAGAAAACAGTATGGAGTTTCCAAAAAATAAAAATAAAATTAAGATTAGAAGTCCATTTTGACCCAATCATCCCACTTATAGGAATATATCCTAAAAAATCAGAAACACCAATCGAAGAATATATGCATCCCTATGTTCATAGCAAGGCAGTTTACAATAGCTAAGATTTGGAAACAGCCTAAGTGCCCATCAGCAGATGAGTGGATTAGAAAACTGTGGTACATCTACACAATGGAATACTACCCAACTGTAAAAAAGAAAGAACTCTTACCATTTTCAACAGCATGGATGGATCTGGATGGAGAGCATTATGCTAAGCGAAATATGCCAGTCAGAGAAAGGTAAGTATCATGTGGTCTCACTCATGTGGGATCTAATAAACAACATAAACTGATGAACAAAAATAGACCCAAAGACAGAAGTACCAAACAGACTTTCAAACGTCAGAGGGAAGGCAGGGGACGGGGGTTGAGAAGAGATCAACCAATGAACTTGTATGCATATATGCATAAACCAGTAACACAGACAATAAGGTGGTGAGAGCCTGAGTTGGGGGGTGGGGGCAGGCTTGGAGAGGTCAATGGGGGAAAAAGGGGACATATGTAATACTTTCAACAATAAAGATTTTTTAAAAAAGATTACAGCATACACAATTAAAATATAAATTTTCTGCTCTTTTTTTTATTTCATCTTATTATAAGCACTCTAAGTTTCATTTGTGTTCCTGTCATTATAATTCACATTTAGCTCCATTCTAGTTGAAGATTTTTTGATCACTGACTCTTAACTCATAAGTAGGCATCATACTACACTTGACTCTGTAACACCACTACCACACCTATGTCTGGCTTTTCTATGCATTCAGTTAATATCTGTTTACTAACCAGATGAATAAGTGTGTCTGTCTATCTAGAGAGGCAGAAAGACAAATCAATTAATTGTTTCTATTAATATTGATCTTTATACCTCCCTTTTTAATCTAATAGGGGAATTAAAACTAGTGTTCATTTTCTTAGTCTTGAGGGGGAAAGAGCATAGAAATAGAGGCTTTATTATGCCAATTGCTATATAATTATTACATATCCTAAACCTTGACAATTTTTGCCAGAATCTTATTTTATTTTATTTTTTTCTTAGAGCAAATATACTAATTTTCCTCTGTTCACTATGAATCCTTATGTTTTACATACTGTATATTAACATTTAGCAGATAGACTTGTATAGAAAAAAGGGATAGACTGTTCACTTGTATATCACAGTATAAGAAGCAATATTTTTTCTGTATCTTTTTATAGAGATATAAAAATGAATTCCCTATAATGCATCCTTTGGGTAAAAGATGTAATTTCCTTATTACTTTATACCAAGTTATAGCAGCCACATTATGAGAATATCTTCTCTGCAACAGGCATTTGAAAATACTGATACCTCACCGCTGGGCATTGCTCACCCTGAAGCTGCTGCAATAGAGAGATCCCAGAACCACTAACATGAGCCAGCCAAAACGATAAGAATTCTTGCCAAATCAGACTCCCAGATATCTGTCTCCAGAGTTCAGAGGAAGCACAATGGTAGGAGTCCTTTTTCTTCCTTCTTTACTAAATACAGATTAGCAGGAGAAAATATTTGTGAAACTAGTTTCTTGGGTTTGGTGACTCTTGGTTACTTGGTATGAGTACTCCTGGATTTGGTTAATTCTCTTTTTCTCTGTGTTTCGGGTGTCTCTCCTTTCATCTTGTAATATGTCCTGAGAGCTTAGTTTATGACCAGTGAGAATATTTTCTCTCTGGCCTCCACCATACAGTGAGTGCACCTGTTGGGGTGCATCTTGCTTTCTGGTCAGCCATTCCAAGCTCTCAAGGGAGTTTTCTTTGTCTATCCATTTCCTCCCAGAGATGTTAAAAACAGGCCCCCTCATTTTTGTTTTTTCCCTGTCAAAGGATGCATATACATCTGGCAGGTAGTGGAGTAAGCTGCAGGTCTGAGTTTAGAGAATCTAAACACCTCATTAAAAACAGGGAAACACATAATTCCCAGTGTTTTGAAATAGCTGTTTCTAACTCTGGGAATTGACTTTTTCTTTTGAATGTTGCATCTTGTTGCACTTTCCTTTGGGGATGCCTCCTGCATTCATGTGTTCATATTGATTTGAGTCACCATTAAGATCCAAGTCATCAAGACAAGACAATGGATCCTTTCAACTGGAAAAAGCTCTAAATTTAAAAGAAAAAAAATTTTTTTAAAGATCTCTCTTATTGTTACAATGGCTAGTCATTAAGATATGCTATATAATGAAGAGCTAATATGCTAATTAGACCAGATGGTGGAACCACCTTCTGGAACAACCAGTGGGCAGGGGGTGGGGCTGCTGCAGGGCCACAAGGCCGCTGGGGCAGCCAGACAGCCAGGGCTGCGAAGGCCAAGTCCCTTGCATGAATTTCATGCATTGGGCCTCTAGTCCTTAATAAGATCAAAGGACAGATATGAGAATGAAAACCAAAGTCCATTCAGATCTCTTCCTAATTTGCCTTTGGACATTGGCAGATATTATAAAAACTCAGAACATTGGAAATACAATTGTCCTATACTTAAGGAAATGAAAGGAAAAGAAAAAAGGCGAAATCTTAACTAAAGACAACCTAAAAATTTTATGTCCAAAAATGTTGGCTTGGTAACTGTTAGGTTGGAAGCTTCAAAATATGGCCAAACAGCAATGTGAGCTAAACTCCATTTACTGTGGGGTCCTATGAAATTGCTGCCAGCCCTAAAGGATATTATAGCCTAAAATTACAATAGCAATTATGAGAAGCATTCCAATTAGTTGAGATCATTTAAAAGTACACTTAAAAGCAAGGGCTTCCAAATCAAATATACAGAATAAGATACCTATATTTTATTGGAATGCAAGAGCCTCCATAAGGCTTCAAAAAATTCTAAAATAGCTTCATTGACAGATTTGTTGCAAAAAGCCAATGAAATGTTAAAGGGGACCTAAAATAAAGTCTCTTTGATAACTTAATAAGACTTATGTTACCCCTTATAGGTGATTGTCCTCCAATAGCTTTTTTTAAATATATTTTTTATTGATTAAGATATTACATATGTGTCCCTGTCCCCACATCACCCTCCACCACCCCCCCGCTCATGCCCTCACCACCCCCCTCCCCTGTCCGTGTCGTTGTGCTTCCATGTCCATTTCTCCTTCCCATCTCAGCTAGTGTGACAATGGGTTCATGCCTTTACCTATTCATTCATTCATGGATCATCTTTTAATTAATTTATTCCATCATTT